GGGCCCTGCGCTTCTGTGCCAGGGCCCCCGGCGGGCGGGGGCGATGCAGTTGCGGCATGAGACTGAGCTGGAGGCACCTCGAGAAGCAAAACCTCTCCCCTATTGCGTCTGTCGCTTCGTGCAATCCCGCGGTTTAGCAAAAATGACTCAGTACCGACTTGGCACGGGTTTATATGCAGGCAGGCATAAGCTGACCTAGTAAGGGTTTGTGCAACTTGTGTTTTTTAGATTAACCCAGCTGCAGTCATCTAAATCGTATAGCGGTGGTCCGAGAATCCTTTGTGTTAGCTTTGTGCAAGCTTTGTGCAAATATTGGGTTTGGGATTTTTTGAGACCTCTATCAGTAAGTAGCTGCTGAGGTCAAGGGATGCTGCTTTAATACGAACAATTCTCAGTTAAACAGCCTTAAACAACAAGGCAAACTATACAAGTGTGGAGTTGCAATACTTGTTTAAACTGGATTGACTGCTAAAAAGAGCATTATGAAGCCAAAACAGAAGAACAGGAGAAAACTTTTATAGGAGCTGCAATTAAATATCAGATATTGGAAAGACTGTAGCAGAAATATCTCTGCAGGTAGGCCATGCAAAATCTCTCCTCTTACTTCTGTTGCTACATTTCTGTCACTGGCAGCTTGTGCTAGGAATAACATTTAGAATGAAGCCCGTCTGTGTTGACCTTGTGTAACACTTGAGTAACTAGAATTAGAAAGGAAGAAAGTAATTTGTTTGGAGCACTGGACTCCTGACCCAGTTGCTTGTGGAGTTTATTGGGTGTTGACCAAATTAAAAGCTGGCAATGAAGCATACAGGAAACAGTAAGTATGGACACTTTCAGTCTCTTTTTCCCAAGACAGGTGGCATGGAGGGAGAAAAGAACTGACTTTGGTTTTAAGATACAATCCTTCTGCTCTGGCTAGACCTTAGCATTATTAATATTTGCCATGGTGAAATAGTGCTCTGGAGCTGTTAACATACCAACGTTTCTGTAAGTCGCTGCATTCTTGTGAAGCAGTAGCTAATGTGAATTGGCTAGAAAAAGCAGTCTATGTAAAAGTAAGCTAATAGAGTTTTTGTTGGAGAGAAGTGGAGCTGCCAACTAGCTCTGCAGATCATATTGCCATGTGATCTGCAAGGGTATTTTTGTGGCTAACATACAGGTTACTGTCCAGTTCCATTTGTTAATCCTAGGAATTCTCTTTAAGGAGGCAGAGAGGAAGTAAAAACAGAGGGGACTTTACATGAGGAATAACCATATATCTCATTCATTTCTTCTCTATTTGGCCACAATGTAGCCTGCAATGAAGTGTTAGAATGAGTTAGAATTCAGAGCTTATACCCCTAGAAGACAGAACAATTGAAGAGCTGTATGTTAGACACATATCATTAACTTGAGAATAATGAGTTCTAAGTTGTATGCTACTAGCTTTTGTTTTCATGTCTGTGTGTAACGGACCTTAGGGTATTTCTGCTTTACTTTAGAGCTGATGTTCTTTAATCAGATAGCTGTCATGCAGCAGCAGTCTCTTCAGAAAGTATGATAAAACCAAATGATGCTATTTAGTGCTCTTCTGCTCAAATGCTGCTGTCTTAAGGGAACTTATAGAATTATAGAATGGTTGGGGTTGGATGAGACCTTTAAGGGTCATCTAGTCCAACCCCCCTGCAATGAGCAGGGACATCTTCAACTAGATCAGGTTGCTCAGAGCCTCATCCAGCCTGTCCTTGAATGTTTCCAGGGATGGGACATCTACCATCTCTCTGGGCAACCTGTTCCAGTGTTTCACCACCCTCATTGTGAAAAGTTTCTGTCTTATATCTAGTCTAAATCTACCTTCCTTTAGTTTAAAACCATTACCCTTTGTCCTGTCACAACAGGCCTTGCTAAAAAGTCCCTCCCCATCTTTCTTATAAGACCCCTTTAGATACTGGAAGGCTGCTATGAGATCTCCCCAGAACCTTCTCTTCTCCAGGCTGAACAACCCCAACTCTCTCAGCCTTTCCTCATAGGAGAGGTGTTCCAGCCCTCTGATCATCTTCAACTTGACAGGGAATATCTCTGTTGCCATCAGTAGTGTTCCAGCATGCTTCCTTGAGGTGATCTCCTGACTACAGGTTAGTAAGTAATAGCTGCAAAGGTGAAGCATTATATTTTATTGTAGTTAAGAGCTAAATAGCCTTCAGGAAATAAGTGGGTATTACCTACACCCAGAACACACAAACTAATTCTGCTGCTTATCCTGTCTCTCTCAGACCGCCCTGGTATGCTGGACTTCAAAGGCAAAGCAAAGTGGGATGCCTGGAACGCATTGAAAGGTAAGTGTGTGCTTCAAAAAGAAAAATGAATAAATAAAACTACAGACAAACTACTCAGAAAAACCTATGTGGTTCAGCAAGATATAAAATAGTGTTGCCTTGTAAGACAAGAGTTCTAGAAGTTCAGAATGCCGTGATAATAAATTCTTACTTGTGATTACCCCTGCAAGGCAGAAGAAATCCTGAAAAATGTAGCCTGCGTGAAAGGGAATTAAGGTGCAAAATGCCCAGCTGGCCCAAGATGTTACACAAAGGAGAACTGTAGCAGAAGCAGAAATCTAAATCTGTTTTCCAGGTCCCGGCCTAATAATCCAGAGACTGAGCTCTCCCTCCAGTTGTTGTGTTTCTTCTAAAGCTTTCCTAACTGGAAGATGCAACTGCGTTCTCTTCACTTAGCGCAGAGACAAACAAGTGGTCTAATCTGTGAAAATGAGGTTTTCCTGGTGTTTTAAGGAGCCAGCACTACATCTAAATGCAGTCTAAGTTGACTGAATAGCTTTCCTGTAATACTTGTGAATGCCATTAATAGAACTAATACACCGTTTAGTTGCTGTCTGTAGAAATACAGTTTTGCTTTGAAACACTGTTTTCTCACGACTGCTAAACACATTTGTTTAAAACTTTAATATTAGATTCATGACCAAGTGACCTTCTTAGCTTCTTTGCTCTCTGGTAGCATGCTGCTACATGCTATAGCAAGGAATTGTGACTTGCGTGTAAAAGGTATCTTAATCTGTAAAAGGTATCTGACTGCTTCCTGTGTTCTGTCCTTCAGGAATGTCCAAAGAAGATGCAATGAAAGCATACATAGCAAAAGTGGAAGAACTAAAGGGCAAATACGGCATCTGAGGACTGGATATAGCAGCCACTTGCACACCTGAAACATGCCTTACTTCTAATACTGTGGAAAACTGGTTTCTGAGAATAATTTTAAATACCTAGTATATTATAGTCGGTTCTCCTCATGCCGGTAGTTCAGGGGAAGTTGTGTACGCACCTAATGTACTGACACGTTATAAATTCCTTCTGGGAACAAAATCTGGAACTCATTAAAGTGCATTTGGTACTTTAGTTGTTGTGATGACCATCGCTTAGAAATTATTCTGAACTCTTCCGTTAATTGCCGTGTTGCAGCTGTCAAACACTTCTTTGTAGGCGCAAGCCAACCTCTCCAGTCGTTGTGCCACTAGAGGGGGCTCAGAAATCTGTGTTTCCTGCAATGCGGACTTGTGTCCAAACCAATCCGGTGATGTCTTGATACTGCTTTGCCTCCTTTCTCTCGTAGATGGGTGGCAGCCCACAAAAGCTGGAACACCACAGAGATTATCATGAAGAGGCTAGGTCTAATGCTGTGTATCCTAAGAACAAGGTGCTTGATGTTTGTTGCTTGGGGCTTTCAGAGACTTAAGTCAACAGTTGTCAAGTTATCTTTCATAAAACACTTCTTGGAGATGTTATTCCCCCACAACAACGTTAGGCTTCTGGAGAGAGAGCAAATACTCGGCAGCTGAACATAAAGCCTTCCCTGTGAAAGAAAAGGTTCTGTCCACAGCAGAGTTGTGATGCCCTTGATACTGTACTGCTGTAAATACAGAGCACCAGTGTTGCCATGTGCTGAGGCTATAGTGAGGGGTGAATTGGGTATAGACTGGCTTAGCGCTGGCAAGGCTGTTCAAAGAGGAAGACTTGCAGTGATTGCCAGCCAAAGTTTTATTACAAAACCCACAGTTGTGAGCATCTCCAGTAGGCTTTTACCTGTTTTGGTCTGCCTAGTATAGTATGTTGGAGCCTCTGATGCTGGAAAGGGAGACTTTGCTTTTAAAATGTGACATTGAATGATTCCAGCATGGAACATGTGAGAATGAAGTCCCAACCTTAGATGGGAATAAGGCATTCTAATTGCTGCTGTACTGGTTAGCATCTAAACAGGTGAGGACTTCAAACGGTCTTCAGATAAGCAATTGATTTATAGAAATACATAGGGATGAAACCTATCATTACATATCTGTCTAGGTAAATGCATCATTCTGTACTAAGTTACACAGGCTTTGCTGTGTGTAGTATGTGACTTGTGTTTTCTTATGCCACTGGTAAGAGGTGGAGATAACTACCTCAGATGCTTTCAAAAATTATAACTTCCCCCTTTGCTACTTTTAATGGGAAATGCTTTTGGAGCTACTTGTTCCTCCTTTAAAATGTGTTAGGATAAAGACGAGTTTGTTCCCTGTTTTCATAAGGAAAAAGGATGTTTATTCTTGTTCTTCCTTGTTCTTCTGGGTAAGTAATATAAGCATTTGGGTTTTTTTACCTCCTCTTGTATACTCTGTTAGTTATTTGAGATCACGTTAATTACATTCACCTTGCAAGAGAAGGGTAAGAGCAGATGTTCAGCACAAGAGATGTTTTTAGTTCTTTGCCAGCCCTAAATTTGACAGCCAGCTCTGTCTTCACAGCTGTATTTTGTGAAGCTGGTTATCCTTGGAGGATTCTGCCAATCTGTACCAGAATGTGGCACATACTGGCAAATGCTTCCACTTTTGCTCTTGTTTGCTGGAAGCTGATGCACTGTAAGCATGCTGTGCTTTGCTAACTTGCTTTCTGTCAAAACAGGTGTGTTCAGAATTTTTGACTGCTGAAGCAGTGGAATTGGATTCTGTCTGAAGAGCAGGCTGGGAGTAGTAGCAAGTTCTGTATCCTAGTCCTCATTTGGCTTTATTTCACCTGTGAGACTTAACTAATTGTTACACTGCTGCTCTCCTTTCTCATACCTGTCTGGCATTAGGAAAATGTCGCTATGTACATAGTGCTTGTCCCAGAGAGGGCTTGGTCTTGGCCAGGCTTTTATACATTGCCTTGTACTTAAAAATAATGCTATTTGCCAGTCTATACTGGCAGTGACTGAGGACTCTACCTTGGATGTGCTTATTTGGGTACTTTACCATGGTAACACCTTCTTCCTCCTGGCATCATCTTCCTTAGAAAAGTAACGTCAGTGGTCTTACTGGTTAGCTTGCCCTTTGGCAATAAATCTACCTGTTGGTAATCAACTGTGCATCTCAGGAGTAAGCTGAAAGATTCAAATTACGGAAATAAGAGTTATGCGGTAATAGACTGTACAAAAGGCACTAAGGCAGAAACAAAGGTACTGATGTCTGTGCGCAGTGTTTGTGACGAGAACCAGCAACACGAAAGTTGGCTGCACAGCTATTAACTGTGGGTACTACCACTGCAGGGAGAGTGTTGAAAAAAGACCGAACTGAGGTGGGGGGCTGGTTGTTTAGCAGCAGGATGAATGTCTGTAAATGCATGGGATGTTGGGCTGTCTGAAAATGTTGCTGACTTAGTGACCGCATAGTCCTTGCTGGTATGGAGTAGGAGACTCCTGGGTTGCATAAATAATGCTTCGGCAGTAGTGGTGCTAGGGCAATAGTGGTTTAAGGACATCTGCAAACCAATTTGCAGGTAGAGGTAATTGCTTTTATTAAACTAATAAAGTGGTAAAAATAGACAACCATTAAGGTCTACAGCCTTAAGATTTGAAACAGAAGCAGCAAGCCTCAAACCAAAATATAACTTCAGAACCATTGCTATCTGCAATAAGTTACTGTTGATGGAGGAACAGATGCTTTTGATGGCTGGGCATTGTTCTGACACCCGTTCAGGGAGTTGCTGCTATTTCCTCTCTATTAGATCAAAGGCAGCCAGCAACATCCTGATTCTTGCAGAGCTTGTGAAGAGGAGAAGACATGCGCTGAAACAAGCCCAACACGCAGGAGGTCAGAGGCCAGCTGGCACATGTGCACGCGGGTCTGGCTTGCTGAGTTTGCAGAGTGTGCAGGACAGAATCTGGACTTTGGATACGGCAATAATAAATGTTAACTTGCGTGTGTGATAAGACAGTGTCCCTTCTACCGTGCTTCTACTATTAGTTCTTGCACAGAGAAACTAGTTGATCAGCACCTGGTGGAATTAGAGATAAACTGTAAGGGGGATGTTGTTTTGCTTAGGTTTTTTTTTCTTGTGGGTTTTGCTTGCTCTTACCAAACATGTGAAGGTGCAATACTCCTAGCACAGATTTAACAAATCAGTATTGATGTGCTACTCAAGGCCCATAACAGGTTTTTCAACCCTGTGAAGTTAAGTTTTCTGTTTGACTAAAAAGCACTCCGAGGCTGACTGCAGCATGCAACTATCTTTGTCAAACTTCTTCAGTCCTCATCTGGAGTGATCTTGTTGCACAATGCAAGTATTTTAATCTTTGAACTTATTTGACCCTGATGATACTACTAAAAATAAATGAAAATTGTATTTGCTGCTGTTTAAAATATTTGCTCTGCCCCCTGAGTGTTCAGAGCAAACAATATTGGGCAATACCACTTTGGGGTGACTGGGCATCTAAGCAGTCTTGTGGGATTGATTATAAATTGGGAGAGACAAAAAAGAAAATGTTTTTTTTGGCTTCGATAGGTTTCTAAATACCACAGCTGTCACCCAGAGAGGGTTATGCAGTCTTCCAAGTTGTCAAAGCTGCTTTAGAGGTAAGACAAGTTGATGTTACATAAACATAACACACTTGCATGAGAGTCGCGGTACTAAACTCAGAAGTGTAAAAGTTAATCGAATAAAACAAAAGAGAGAATCTGATTTTTTTTTCCCCCCCTCCCCCAAGTATGGGAAGTATCTCCAGACTCGGACAACTGATCTATAAATTAGCCAATCTTCAGCTGGTTGTTTAAAGTGCAAATAACATCGATCCATTCTAGGCATGAGTCCATCTTCATCATTTATAGAATGAGCTTGTATTTCCTCTAGAACAAGCATATCTGTGAAAGTTAAACACAGCTTGGTTGTGTTACTCTGGAGTAGAGCATGCATGGAGCTTGGCTGCAGCGGTCTTTTAACTTGTATTCCCATTTCCACCTATGGCTACTGGATTTTTGGTTACTTCCAGTACACATAGATTTATTTTTCATGGTCTGACACTCCTAATGTTCCTTAGAGCTGATTCATCTCTTGCAACCATCCTGCCATCCAGTGTAGTTTTAGAGCAATCCTTTGCTACCTCAAGAGTACCTGAAGACATATGGAGCTGTTCTCAAAATCAGTCAGCATGTCTTGCCTCTGATGTTTGAAAGCCTTCCTGTGCTTTAACCTGTCTTGACTAATGGAGAAGCCGCTCAAAAATACAGTATTGTTAGTGAGCGTGGGCCTGGGGAGGAAGAGCTAGGCAAAATTCCTGGAGGTTGTTGAGCTTATGAAAGAGGTGATATGAAAAACTGCCTGGAAGTGGAATCAGTGGCTCAATTGGCCCTTCCAGTCCTTTTGTTAGCAAGGATTACTTTAGCTGTAAGTACTGCCAGTGCAATGAGAAGCTCTTTATTGTTGTGTGAAAGAACTCAAAGCCCTGGTGTACTGGGATATTGTATGATCACTCTGTTCAGTTGGTTCTAAGCCAGGAGCCTGTTCTATTTGCAAGCCCAGATTGCCTCGTGCAGGTGATTCTATACCCTGGAAAGAAAGAAAATAGCATTAGTTGGCTAACAGCCAGGGAGACACCTTGTTTCTCTCAACCGAAGTGTGTAAGGCACTGACTTGTACCATGTTCCCCAAAAGGCTGAGATAGTGGTATGTCATCTCCTCCTAACAAACACTGCTCGTTTAAGTTCTGAATCTAAAAGAGGAGCTCATGAGTTTAATGTACTTGGTATGTTTAAATCTGAGTATTTAGCTGCATTGATCTGAGTTTTTGCTAAGAGAAGAAACACATGTATCACATGTATGTGGGTATATATATATATATATATATATAACAGCTGAAAAACTGAATAATATGATTTCCTCTAGCTTAT